AGTAGCAGCTTTACCGCATTGCTCCCGCCACCATACTTCGAATCACCCCATGTGACCACATACCCATCACCCAGGATGGCAGCAAACGCACGACTAGAAGCTTGAACCTGTTGAACAGCTTTCAGCCGCTCCTGCACAGTGCCGCTGGAGCCACCAGTTTCGGGATCGCCCCAGGTGACCACAGATCCATCACCCAAGACTGCAGCAAAGGCACCTTCAGAAGCTTGAATCTGCTGCACGTCCTTTAGCTGCTCATGCACAGCACAACAATTGCCGCCATATCGGGGATTGCCCCAAGTGACCACAGATCTATCACCCAGGACTGCAGCAAAAGCCCCGCGTGAACTTTGGATGTGCCGCACATCTTTCAACCGCTCCTGCACGGTACTGCTGTCACCGCCACACTCGGGATCACCCCATGTGACGACGCAACCACCGTCGCAAAGTGCGGCAAATGCACGCCGGGAGACTTGGATCGCCTGCACATTCTGCGCTTTGGCTGTTTTTTCGGCAAAGCCGTCGCCGCCATGTCGGGCATCGCCCCAGGCGACCAGCGATCCATCACGCCGGATTGCAGCGAACGCACCATCCGAAGCTTGGATCTTTTTGACATTCTCTAGCCGCCCCTGGGCAGATGAGCTATCACCGCCGAAGTCAGGGCAACCCCAGGTGACGACAGACCCAACACTTAGAATTGCAGCAAACGCACCGTTCGAGGCTTGAATGTGCCTCACGTCTTGTAGCTGGTCACGAACGGCGCTGCAGTCGCCGCCTAGTATGGCATCACCCCAGGCCACGACGGACCCATCACGCAGTAGTGCAGCAAATGCGCCAAATGAAGCCTGAATCTGCTGCACATCCTGGAGCTGCTCCTGGACGGCACTGCTGTCACCTCCGAGTTCGGGATCACCCCAGGTGACCACAGATCCATCACCCAGGATCGCAGCAAACGCGCGAGCTGAAGCTTGAATTTCCTGCACATCTTTAAGGTGTTCCTGCATAGCATTGCTGTTGCCACCAGTCCACGGGTCTCCCCAAGTGACCACGGATCCATCACCCAGGACAGCAGCGAATGCAGAGGAAACCTCACCTTTCCTGGAAGCCACTAGCTGAATTGGTCTGACATGTAAAGTTAGTACATCACCGCTCTGCAGCCTTGATTCTTTGATAGTGGCTGCTCCGTCGAGCGCTTCTCCGGAAGAGTTCAGCAGTTTGCCTTTGCCAGTGGCCAAGATGCTCTGTGCGCGTCTTCTCAATGACTCAACACACTCATCCGCCTCCACTTCGACAAATGCTTTTCTGCCGCTTAGCAGATGCACATCCACTGCCACAGACATGTGGGATATCTGCTAGGTACTAGTTATCGTGATGGGCATAATGCATCTTGCGATGGACCTGGGACTCGAACCTAAATTCGCGATGCTTGCAACCTCATGATTTGATATTCCTCCCTGAGTCGCCTTCAGCCGCAATCGAATGTTATTGCCGCTCAGCATTGGGATTATGGGCCCGTCATGTGTGTATGAAGCTGCTTCTACGAAAAGGGTTACCTGCGCCCACCTGAAGATCATGCGATCGGTGGACGAATCTGGCCAAAATCACATCTGCGGCATGCTAGAGTTCGGCTTTCAACTTGACTGCTTGCTGTAGTCTCAGGAATTCTTTCTAAAGGAGTTCGCACGAGCCTCGTAAGAAATTCCATGCTTGAAACAGGATGTTGGGGTCTGAGGCTTAATAGACTGCACTTTTGTATACAATACGATACGATGCTCTACTACACTATGCTACACGACACTCAATAATATAGTAACACCTACTGTTCAAGTTGGGAGATGCGGCCTTGGCTCGTCAGCCCAACCCCCGAAGCCATCCTGCTGAACCATCCACCATGAGGAACTGCTGAGAATAGGGCTTTGGGAAAGGTGTTACCAAGACCAAAACTGGATGTTATGACCCAGAATTCCGACCCCCTCATTACAAGCCGCCAGTGAGCATTTGCCAACTTGCAGCGAATATGAACGACGACCTGGGCCCTAACCCTTTCCTCCCCTGCGTAGTCCAGCGGAAACACACAAAAAAGGCAGGTGCCCGGAAGCTCAACCCACCTCGCGCCGATACTGGAGAGTCACAGGAGCTGTCAGGTATGCTGAATCATCCGGGAGCCTTGAAAACCCGATACCTGACCCTTAATCCAAAGTCGCGGTCTAATATTCTTAAACCCTGAAGTGTGGATCCTATCTCCGGGAAGCTCTCTGAAACCCGACAGTCCCTGGCAGCTGTCGTCTTTCCGCGCGCACTCATCGGTAGCAGCGGTCAGCTCAAACGAGGGCGAGGCAATGCAGAAAGTCAAAATGGGCCGGAGGCCAAGCAAGGCCATCTTGTTCATGAGCAGAAAGGAAACAGACATTGTGGCAAAAGGGAATCTTGAGCACTTGACCGTATCATGCCAGGTGGCAGAAAAGCTGAAAAACTCAACCCCTGTGCACTTTGCCATGATCTGGCATAGCACCTGTCTGGGATCTGTTCCCTGACCGAATCCAATGTCAAAACTGCTGGCTTCTTCGTTCCTGTCACTACATATGACAACAGAGGGTACAAGTGATAATATGAAACACCTGCAAAACAAGAGACAACGACCAGTAGACAACAAAGCACCCAAAACTGCGTTAACCAAATTCAATAAGATGTGTGACTTATATGAGAACGGTTAGCTTTCAATCGTCAACACCGCAGAGAAACGCATCAACGACAGGACCACAATAACTTGAAAGGAAAAACGGAGGGACATTAACGAACCAAAACAAGCTATAGATAAGTTTGCAGTCAAGACCCCATCATTGGAGTGCAACTAAAGAATCCTTTAAGAACCGCAAAGACAATCAATGAAACACTTCTGAAACACAAACTCTACACCGATAGGGGATGCTGGATAGACGCGCTTCTGGACCACTACCGAGACCTTATGAGACGCAAGCGGGGCGAATCACATGGAAAAAACCTCACCAGGCAGCTCTACCGGCGCTTCTGGGTTCCCCTTCCCCCAAGAAGAGTGTAAAAGCAATGGCGCCACCATTGACATTACACACTTGTATTTTCGGTTAAGACTTCAATATCACAGTCAGGCTCTTTACGGCTCTTTGATTGCAATGATAAACTTATTTACTCCTTACAGTACCTTTGACCCGCCCGACGACCGAAGCGGCTCTTCGGCTAAATCAAGAACGGGTGGGGGTGGCTGTTTCGTGGCTTTGCTTTTGCAAAGATGTTGGTTCAGGTTGGAGGTGACCAGTTCAATGCCCTGAGAGCCTCCGGGTGTTCTTTCCGGGTCCAGCGGTGACTGAGCCCCGAACGCGAGCTTGAGTCCCCTTGCCCGCACTGGCCCACCGTCTCCGGCTGAAATTATTGCAAGGACCGACTCGGAGCCGCATTTCTCTAGGATTTGGGCTTCGGCAATGCATTCGGAGCATCCTTCGACGAGGCTCGCAACAAAACACATCTTGGTCACTTTCTCGGACAGCTCCGGTTTGGGTTGCCTTGAAGCCTCGGAGCTCGAACTCTGTCGTGGTTTTCAACAAGATTCTGCTAAGTGGTGCTCCTCTTGGGGATGACAGTCCTGATAAGCGAAAGACTTCACGGCGGCTGTAGACCGCAACGGAAAGTGGAGGCTGGCTGAGCATTTACGGCATTTGTGTCACCTGTGTCTGTGTCTAAGTCTCAACTATGGAGTATTGCCGTATAGCGACTGAGAAACTGTCAATCCTGGTCTGGGGCGGCAGGGTGATAGCGAGAAAATGGGGAGCATGCTGTAGAATGGCGGTCATGCAACTGAGACTGCTTTCGGTCATCGCTCCTAATTTGAATTTCCCTGCCGCAATTATCGCGTGACTTTCACTTCGACATTCTTTGCCCTCTCCATGTGCGCAGATTCAGATTCTCAAGTTCACAGCCGTGGGACTCGTCTGCTTCTGCCCTGGAGCTGCGCTCGAAGGCCTCGCCCATGACCTGCAAGGCTGACACTGAAAGATGCTGAAACAAGGCCGTCTCAAGGCAAAGGCAGCCTCGCCTGGCCCTGACCTGAGCTCCTCAGCGGACTTCATGAAAGAAGTTAAGGGCCGTCACCGCTTAACTGAAAGCTTGATGCATTCGTGGAATCGACAATAACAGCAAGAGGCGGAGCTATTCAGCTGCGAAAGGTGTGCCAAGGTCGGCAGCCAGTGACAACAGTTGAATTTTCCGATCGAGTTCGCGGCCACGCTGTGCTTTTATTGAAACATGGGCACGGCTTGCCAAAAAAAAACAACACGAACAGTTGCTGCAGCTTGTACACGCCGCCACGAGAAAAGGCACCGTGACATCCTTCTTCGTGAGGATGGGCGGGCGGGACTAGCTGCGCTGGGCTTCGGTGCCGAAAGAGTGAGTTGCAAGGCTACCACACAATCCAGCTGTACGGTAGGCAGAACAACTCTTTGCAGCATTTTGGGTCCTGAGGCCTTAAGCAAAGGCCCGCTCGGGAGTTGTAAACTTACAGTCCTTATAGTCTTGCCGAGTCTTCTGCTTACCCTCTGAGCTTCCGTCCACGGACCATGCTGCAGGCTATCTGGCAAATCAGGAACACGCCAGTGGTAGCCATGTTCATATTCATTCCAGCGAGCTAGCAATGAAGACGATTGCATCTTTGCAGCTCCCTCCACATTCACGTCATACGGGAACGGGAACTACTACTCGTAGCAAAAAAGTCTTTGGCTCGGCTTTGCCTTGCCGAGCTTAGGGGGATCCAGTGGGAAGTGCAAAACACTCTTGCTGGCATGTTGAGTACAGTGGCTGAACACACAAGACTGGGCCCAATCATAGACTGGAGTGGACCAATGGAGGTACTCGGCTTTTGGCCAGGAACATGAATTCGAGTGCAACTGTACAATACGATCTCGGCTCAGATCTCTTCTTGTCTCAGTCCTTGCTTCTTGCTCCCTTCCGCCTTTCATCAGAGCCCTTCTTGGCACTCAGGCTCGTTCTGGTGGGTCGGCGACGCTCCCCACAGCATCCAACAGCACCAAGCCGGAGCACAACTCAGCTTGGAGCACGAGGCTGACATTGATGGCCTCGAGCATGTCGGGCTTCTCTTGCGAGCTGGCGCCGGCAGAGCAGGGGATAGCGAAGCCCTTGCCTCAGACCGCGAAAGCGTACTGGAAACAATGCAACAAGATATTGTTCAAGCAGGTTCAGCCTCTTTGCGACCCAGGGCACCGCGCTCACCAAGGAGGGCTTGGCCGGGCTCCTCCGCCGCCCAGCCGCTGGCCACGAGCATTGCACTGCCGCAGTGGGCCGGGGCAGGGCAGGCACGCCGGCCCAGCAGGTTCAGCGCGCGCTGCGCCAGAGATCGGCCTCAGATTCTGTGCGGGATCCAGTTCCAGCAAGCTAGTCGCAGCAAGTCAGCTGCCACATCGTCCCGTGCCTTCAGGCTGTTGAGGGTCGGCCACAGCCGCCAGCTCGCGCTTCAGGGCGGCCAGTCCAAAGGCGGGCGAGGAGGGAACGTAGCGCAGGCCCGCTGACAGCAGCTGCGCTTCTTGGTAGCCATGGAGCGCCTCACGGCTCAGCAGAGAAAAAGGCGAAGCCCAAAGTCTCCTAGCTTGGCTTTGGCTTTGGCTTTGAGCGCATTTGCAAAAAATTCCGAGCGCCTGGAAGGTGATCAGCTGCATGAGCAGCGGCTGCACAGCGCGATTCACCACCTTGCCGGGAGCGAGTGCAGCCCAAAGTCGTGGCTACTTAGTATGATGGGAAGACTCGATGCATCTGGCATAAATTCCGTTATGGCTAGTGCAGTACCGAATTCAAGAGCGCACCCTGGTATACACGATTATATACAACATTTCATGCGCGGAAGCTTGGACATTCTCCAATACCCGGACAGTCTGCTCATCTCCGTGCCTCCACTGCGTGGCTGAAGATCTGCTGACTCACCTCCTGGAAGCGGCTCTCGCAGCCTTCGAGCCTGGGGGGCAGAGGAAATTCGACTGCACCATGCTTTCGACGATTCCTTCTGGGAATTATCGCAGGTGCAGGCATGGGCCTTCCGTGCTCGTCGAAGCCATCGTCCAGGGCGACGCCTTCCATCAGCCCCTGCAGCAATCCCTGGTCCTGAGGCTATAGAGGGAACGCTCCAAAGATCAAGTGACAGAAATGCCATAAACAGGTGCAGCGACACCTCAATAGCCACTTGCAGTCGCTCCGTTGCGGCCAGCGTAGCGGCCCAGGCCTCCTGCAGCGCAGCGCCGGCGCGCTCCTGGCAGAAAGCTGCTAACACCCCCTTTCAAACAAAAGAAGAGACGAGACCAGCGCGAGCCGCGAGCGGCCGCGGGAGCCTCGGCGCGGAGGAGCCGCTGCCAGGCCTCGCGAAGCGCCGAGGTGTCGGCACCTGCACAGTGCACCACTGGCCGTGCAGAAGGGTCTTATCAGTCCGTGCCTCCACATTGTGAGAAGTTGCTGGCTGCGTGGATCGCCTGCAAGGGTTGGGGGAGCAACTTGGAGCAAGCTTCCTTCATCTCAGAGTCTGTTCAAAGCGTCACTCCCCGCCTCGTCACTTTGGTCCAGTGCCTGCATGCGCAGCATGATGAAGGCTGTGTGCTTCTCGTGGGCTCTGAGGAAGCTTTCCAAGAGCCAAAGAATTAGACTTCGCATGTCGCTTCCGATGTGGGGCGGGTTTGGCATCCGGAGCTGCAGTCTCTTGGCTTGCTCCCCCAACGCCCGCTGCTGCGCAGCGTGCTCTTGCAACACCTACCCGGGTCAAAAGCGCCACGACTGCTTCGTTAAAGAAGGGAGATGTGGCGAGACGCGGCGAGCCTGGAGTTTCTCCATCGCTTGCTTTCGTGCCACCGCAGACAGATCCGGGTCTCCGCCCTGAAGGCGTCGGCTCAGGCCCACTTGGAAATGCTGTAGCGATGCCCGCAGGGCCCTCATCCGAAAAGGCCACCTTGGGCGTGACAGGAATGCAACGCAACAACACCAGCCACGGCTGTTGTGCGACAAGGCAACAGCTCCGCCGAGGTGTTGTGCCCCAAGTCCACGGCGCGAGACAGCAGCAGTGCTCCAGCCTCCATCGCGACGGGATTCAGCCACGTGTTTCTAATTAAGCTAGATGAGAATGGAGTGATGAAGCTACGAATGCCACTGCGAATGCCGCACCTCCTCGTGCCATGTCAGCACGTCGCGGGAGAGGCCCCGGGCGGTCGTAGGAAGAACTCCACGCAAGTCCTGTAAGGCAAGGATGAAGTTGAAGGAGGATGCTTACCACATTACCCCACCTAGGTGATTCGAGGGACCCTACCCACCCATCCAGCCAGCCAGCAATCCGTCCAAGCATCAATGCGCCTGTCCCTCCAACAGTCCGTCCGTCCATCCATGCTGGCATTTACAATGCACGCATGCACGTACATACATGCATACATACATACATGCATACATACATGCGTACGTACATACATACGTGCATATGTATATATGCATACAGTACATATATACGCATACATACATACATACACTCATACATATGTACACAATGACATATGGATGCATACATACATACATACATACAAACATACGTGCAAACGTACACACATACATGCGACGTGGAAACGTACACACATACGTACAAACGTACAGAGGTACATGCATAGATACACATGCATTTGCAAGTACACTAATGCATAGACGCCTTCGCATATATGCACATACAAAGGAATACATGGATGCACACATACCATACAAACATATGCATACCTCTAAAGACCTTTACATACATTCATGCCTACATACATACTTACCTACATACCTATGCACCTATGCATGCACACAAACGTACATACACAGACACATCCACATACGTACACAGACAGACCTGCAGAAACATATATGCATGCACAAATGCATGCATGCATGCATACACAGATGCATACATACATACACACATACCTGGGTGAATCTGTACATGCATCGTACATACACTCGAAACATAAACACATAGATACATAGGTACATACATTGTATACACGGACATACCTACACACATACATATATACATACATACATACCTACATACATACATACATGCTTTCATACGTACATACAGCATACATGCAAGCATATGTGCAGACATTCATGCACATACACATGAACGCAAAGCATCTGGTGTCAGATGTCAGTGCATGAATCGAGGATTGAGCATGCCAATTGTCAATACCTTGCTGCAGGGAAGCAAGGCCAGAGTCAGGACAATGAAACTGTCCTGTCCTGCCTGAGAACGGCGAGCCTGCCACGCGCCCTGCAGGAAAGGAACGCACATCCGTGGAATGGCATGTTGAGCAAATTCAGCCGCATCGTGCTGTTGATACATGTTATGCCAGGGACTGACAAGCATGATCCAGGGCCAAGTGCGGCCAAAATCAACGGGTAGCGCCTGTCGAAGCAGAATGCTGTATTTACCCCGAAGTCTGCCAAGAGCATCCTGAGTGCAATCCACACAATGTGTGAGGACATGAAGGAGTGCCAGTAATACACTGTTCATGTAACAGGTGCTGCCAGAAGGGTTTGAAAGGCAGAGACTGAGAAGGTCCAACTCAAGCAGCTTGCGGGACTGAGCATCGGGCAGGATCAAAGGTAGCTCTGCAGAGACTGAGCCAGAGCGGATGTCACTGGTCGATCCCTGCCTCGCGGCAAGAAGATGAAGGAGGGAGCAGTTGATGAGGCTGTTGAAGAGATTCCATACCTTGTCTCCGTCCGTTCTCAGCTCTATCTCCAACGTATATAAACTGGACCCATTGGGTGACGTAGGACTGGCGAAACGGACGCGCCGAAGCGAAGTCGCGAATCATGGTGGAGCTGATCAAGATCTCGATCTCGCTAATGATCTTGAGGAGTTGATCCGTGGTCAAGCACTCCACCTCTGGAACCAGCTCCTCCTCCTGTGTAATCGGATTCCAACGGTGGTACTGCCAGGAACCCTGAGAATCCGTCCAATCTTGTCCTGCGTCTCCTTGTTCGATAGAAAGGCCTTGAGGCGACCGCCTTCGCGGAGCATCATCTCCCGACGGAACATTGTCACCTTGTTGGCATCGGCTCTCTCCATGTCTTGGCGACGTGCATCATAAAGGGAACCACCGAGGCAGGCGGATCGGGACGAAGAAAGAGATGGAGCTTCATGTCCTGCTGGGATCGTGTCTCAACAGCAATCGTGCCATCTGCATCGCTGGATGATCTTCTTGTTGCCGGCTTCAGGGCATCTAGAGGGGGCACCATCGTCCGAATAGCTCCCGGAGTCCCAACTGCCCCAGCCTTAGCTTTTGCCCTTTGCATGGCCGGATCTTCTTCCCTTTCCTTTGCCTTTGCCCTTCCCCGAGAATTTGGCCAGAACACCCGCGGATGCATCTGTACTGGACTGAGGCATCATACGACTCAGTCTTGAAGTTCGATACCAGGTCGGTGTCGGTAACTCCATTCGCCGTTTGGAAGAAAATAGGCTCTGGTGTAACGAGCGTTTCAAGCTCATGCTTCTCGATCTTCTTTTTGTGCAACGAGATCGTGACCACAACCGGTGTCCATCAAGAACTTGATCTTCTTTCGCACGTGGACCGGTTGAACCATGCATCTGAACGTTCCTTGGTCAATGATCCTCTTGCTGTGAGCAGGATCCAGCTTGTGCTCAACAATGGAATCCTCACCATCATAGAAGGCGACTTCTTCCACTCGAGACGTGCCTGGTATCCGAACGAAAGAGATCCGAACACCTTCACGATCATCATCTACCATGTCCCGCAAGATTTGGGCCCTTAGCCTTGCCTTGTGCTTGGCGAATTCCAAGTCCACTGAACGACCTTCATGATGTGTGAGTGCCTCGACGTCGACGGGAATGATGGTCTGTTTCTTGTCCTTGCATGATCTTCTCGGCTTTGAAGACGAGAACTTCACATCTTCCGCGAATGACACTCTGCATTTTTTGGTTGAGCTGATCAGCAAAACCGTCTCAGTCGACGGAAGAGCACTCCGATTCATCATCGTTAGGTCGCATTGATCTCTTCCATACGACAGGAGCGGATGGATTCCACCTTCGACACAATCTGATGGCTGGCGCGGCAGGCGCAGCCTTGGCTTTTGGGTTCTTCTTTGCTGCAGCAGCTTCAGCTTTTGCCTTCGCTTCTGCTTTAGCTTTGGCTTTAGGCTCAGGTGCTGGAGTAGCTGCGGCTTCATGCTTGAATGGACTGTTCTCTCTGGAACATGAACCTGTGTTCTTGAATGAGAAGCATATCCGATTGGAATTTCCACCAGATGCACTTGGAGTTCTCGACCTCGGCGTAAACGGCCATTCCGGAGTCTTCTTTGAGTGACTGCAGGGACACTTGTCACCGTTCCGGCACCCTGCATCAGTGAACTGGAACTTGCATCGCATGTGCTTCTTGCTCTTATCATCCTTCGCCTCTGTGGATGCACTTCTGGCCTTCTTCTTTGGTTTCGGCTTCGTCTTTGCATGCGCCTTTGCCTTGCTCTGTGGTAGAACAGGAGCTGCACTGTCTGGCTTAGGGCATCCCTTAGCCTTGGGGGTACAGTAGGCGCCGCATTTGCCTTGTTGTCAGGAGTTTTGTCCGGCGCAGCCAGCAAACCCTTGCCTTCCAACATTTGACGTAGTCCCACTTGCGTCTGGGCAGGATTCGACTGTTCCCGTCGTCGCAGGTGCGGTCAATGATCCGGATAAGGTTGGCGTACGACCGATTCTCATGGTTGTAGGGCAAGTGTTCATAATGAACACCCAAAGGAACAGGATGGCTCGCACGAAGCGGTCGGGCCGTAAAGCTCCAAGACCGTGAAGCTTTTGTCACAGGCATCGGAATCTGTAACTGCATAGACGGTGCCGTGCTCGGAGGTGACCATGGGTAGAGGGAGCTGGGCCTCGCAGTTGAACAGCAAGGTGCGCACCGATTGACCGGAGTTGGCGGAGGCGCCCCGCATGCTAGGGCGACACCTGTGCCACTTTGACGACAACTGAGAAGAGAATGTGCACAAGGACTGCGACTGCGCCGCTCCAATTGAGGTGGCATGGATCCAAGGGCTGTAGTGCCCGGTGTGCGAGGTATGTCTTGCATGACAACAGCAGAGGACAGATCGGAGCCGAGAGCCTCCGTGCCCTCAACAGGGATAGAACCCTGCGCTGCTAGGCGCCAGTGCGCTTCAATCTCATCTCGAAGAGCCCATTGACGCCTCTCCTCAGCTAGGAGCTGTGCCTCCGCATCCGAAGACAAAGTTTCCTCTTCTTGGGAAGCCGAAGAGTGCGACGCAATGCTATTGTATACGCACGACGGCACTGGGTCCTTCGTGGATGCCAAGCAATAGAATAAGATCCGAGCTGAAGCACCTGAACCCAACAGTGCGGAATAGACTGACGGGTAAACCAGCCAAGGCAGGAATAACACAGCTGCGATTCACAGTTGACCAAGCAAGTTGGCACGCACTCTGAAGCACCGCACGTAGCCTATAGGCACATTTGCAGGCGGGCATGCTTCGAGAAACAAACAATGTACAACTGATGAGGTGAAGCTGGGGCTCAAGATGTCACACAGCCAGCATCGTTGAATCAGCCATTGCTGAGTTCCTTCACGAGAGAGAGGCACAAAGCAGCACTGATGGCAATCTGGAGACCCATCCCCCTCATATTAAAATGACCGCACAACAGGCGAGAAAGTCTCGAGCCTGGGTAGCATGCACAACAGATGGTGGAGGGGGTTATGTGTTCATGTCCACCTAACCAAGTCAAACACACAGCCATCTGCACCAGGCTACAATGCACAGGCATGGTTGGAAACATCCTAAGAGCACAAAGAGCGGCATGTTCATATGACCACATCCACGCGTTGACAGTAAGATGCAGCAGGCCCAAAGAATGCATCAGTCGACCGTCTCCAAGTAGGGCGCTCTGGTGACAGACCTAATCTAATCTTTCAGGGGAGGCTTTGCATTGTGCTCAAATGGGTTCGCGGGACCATCGTGCAGGGGAAGCCGAAGTTGCCACTGAGGCTGTCCGGGAATATGTGCAGGAGGTGCCCATTACAGAGGGCACTACGCGCATTCGCCTGAGATGCCTAAGGGCACTGGCTTCCTTGGCTGTCGGCACTGTGACTCTGGTGAGTGTCAGACGTGTGCACCCAAGCCGCGCCCGGACCCATGCCGGCTGCTGATTCTGCTCGCTGTGCTGTCGGCAAAGCTGACCCCATCTATACCTGGTGTTGATGTGGGGTCCGCTGAGCCTCACACAGTCGAGACCCAATCGCCTCGGGTCCTGCGGCTGGTAACTCGGTCGACCCTCGACCACATCTGCCGCGAAAGCCCGTGCCAGAAGATGCCGAACGTCTGCTCAGCCTCCTCCGCCTGGAGCTGTCCTTGAGGAGCATGTTGATTATCAGCTCGACCATACGCGGCGACCGAAGCAGAGCCAGATTTGGTTTTCTGACGCCATGGACATGAGGATACAAGCGGACTGACCAAGTCTCGTCTAGGCAATGCTGCCGAAGGGGTTGGTGGCGAGTGTTGATCACAAGGCCAAGGAGCCTGAACCCGCTGAAACTGGCCGCGCTGCTCGCGATTATATTGCACTGCATTGCATTGCACTGCATTGATTTACGTGTCGCTGCCGTCAGGCTTCCCCTTAAGGATCCTTTGAAGCTTCCCAGAAGAGGTTTATAAGGGTCTTTTACAGGGTGTATTTAAGAGACGTATGGGCCTACGGAGACGGCAATGGAGGCCGTGCCATGTCTCGTCCGGTGCTCCTGCCTGAGCACTCGCCTACCACCTTGCTCTGGCTGATGGTACTGCTGTGTCGGCGCTGCTTTTCTTCGTCGCCCACCAGTCCTTCGTCTGCATTCGCTGCCTCCTAAGCCCCAGCCGTTTTTTTGGCTGGAGTCTGTGGAAATGCCTCGCTTGGGTCGCGTGATCTCTTTCACGGCAGAGCACAGGTCAGACCAAGAAGCGGACTGAACCATGAGGATTGGTGGCATTGGTTAGGCCCGCTGCAATAGCTGCAGTTGCTGATAGGCGGTCCAGACGGGATTGAAGGCGGAAGAAGCTCTTAGCCAAAGGCTGGATGCGAAGCCGAGGTAGCAGACTTGCAAAGCCTGTCAAGGTGTGCCGGCCTCTATGCCCCAGGCTTGATGGAGGGCTTCTCCTGTGGATGTTCATGGACCGGCCTGTGGAGTCAGAAGTCCAATCCCAAACATGACTGAACGATACCTCCAAACAATGTGAGTCCAAGGCACCTGGCCATGTGTGAATCCTGCAGAACAAGACCAGCCCGATAAGAAAGGACAATCTGAGCCAGCATGGCCTGAATACAGAACCCAAGGCAGTATAGGGGTGTTGGAACCCTCCTCGGCTTGTCCAGCTCAGGTCCAGCTCACCTTCTGCTCGGATGGTTCATTGAGGCATCCATGGCTGCCATGGCAGCCGTCGGCTGCAACCCTGAACCCGCAGACCCCACCCCACAACACCCAGAACAAAGCCCGGCGGAAACCAACTCGCTGTCGCTGTGAGCCTTATACATACATACATAAATATGGATAAATATATACATGCATACATACATACATATGTACATACATGCCTGCATTTATGCGTGCAAACATAGATACCTACACACACATACATACATACATACATGCTTACATACGTACATACAGCAGACAGACATAGGTACATACATATACAATCACCCGCATATACAAACACATGCAAGTGCACACACACACAGACATATACATATACATATATATATATATATATATATATATATACATATATATATATACACATACATACATACCAATACATATATATGCTCACACCCCCCCATTGCCATGATCCACCCGAACCTGCTTCTTGCAAACAGTGGATCATGGGAGGTGGTCAACCTCAGGTGCGAAAACATCGCCAAGCTCCAATTTCCCCAAAGTTGGCAAAGCTGGAAGTGCGAACACATCGCCGGGCTCCAATTTCACCAAAATTCCCAAAATCTCAGCCAGTACGGCCCCGCACGTCTCATAGATGCCAGGATTTTGGGGATTGTGGGGAAATTGCAGCCTGGCGATGTTTTGGCAAATCCAGCTTCACAAACTTTGGAGAAATTCGAGCCTGGCGGTGTTTTGGCAACCTCGGAAAACAATGCCAGGCTCGAATCTCCAACATTCCTGAAACCTGAAATGCAAAGTAATAGAAGAACAGCCGTACCATGTACTCATACATGAACCTTCAATTGCTTCAGTTCCGAACTGTGCTCTTGCTTCTTTCATCAAACACAAAGTCCTAGCTGTTGTTAAGATCACCTTGGCTCAATAAACGAAATAGAAGAACAGCTGTACTTTACAATACTGAAAATTTGCCTGTGTTTGTGGATGCTTTATTATGCGGAGGCACATGTTAGTTGCACTGTACATCATGTTTAGATACTGTCGAGTTCTTGTTTCTGCATCGAAGTAAGATCTTGCTAACCGTTTAAACGCTTGCCCGTTGCTTGAACAAAGAAGAAGTTTTTCTTGTATTTCATAGTACCTCACAAACTAAAAAAGGCTGATAGGCTCTGATATTTCATATCATTACATGTAAAGTGAGTTCCCCAATGGTACTGTCGTGCCTTATTACTTTGGGGTTCCCTAACTCAAAATCAATACCAGGGAAAAGGTACCATTCAGGCGACACTGGGGAACCTGGTAAATGAGCTTTCAATTGCTTCGACTAGTGGCGGTACTAACTCTTCTCTCGTGGAGCAAAATCATAACCGAGTGAGGGTCAACCTGGCTCCAGGAGTAAGTCAAGTGTTTTATTGCTTTCCTTAAAGCATAATGAGAAAAGATGTGTTTCCACCATCTCTCGGAGGTTATGAGAAGAGGTCTGAAGCTGTTTCATGCTCTATTCAACGATGGCCAGAGCTATATCACTCTTGCGAGTAGCGCGGTCCAACGGAGCTCGATTATGTGTTCTGAGCCAGCATCGTCTTGCATCTTCTTAAAAAGAAAAACAGGAAATGTTTTCAGAAGAATGACGAATGCTTTCCAAATACATGCTTGTCTTAATTCCCACGAAGCAGAAAGCGTAATAAGCTCAACACACTCTGCGAGTTTGGCGGAGAGAGACCATTTCTTTCACTCAATTCAGGGGCTAAGCTTGCTTATTGTGTTTCTTTGTGCTGAAATGACAACACCACCTGAAGAAGAACAACCATGCTGCCCTTGTCTGTTGAAATTGTGAAGATATGAAGTTGTCCTAGGTTCCCTTGAAGCATGAAGATACATGGAGGTTTCTTTCCATGTCTGATGGGCAACACCTCTGTTTAGTGTGGTTACACTGCTGCTAGTGAGCCAAACATACCACTGGCATGTTTGCTTTCACTGAAGGAGTTGTCCTTACCCCTTATGTTATGAAGAGAAGAGCAGCTGCGTCTATTCAAATTATACATCAAGTAGTTCGACAAACTCCAAAACCCAGAACCGGAATCTGGTTTCGGTTTCGGCTTGTTTACCTATGATATAAAGGAATAAACTAGTCAGGTAAACATGTACATGAAGTGCAGAACACACCGTAAATACCGATAGATTCGGACTCTAGGACTCAGCATCTTGGGAAAGAAGACTGCGCAGGAGTATTGACAAGAAGGCTTGGGTGGGTGGATCATGGGTGTGTGTGTGTGACCATATATACATACGAATATATATATATATATATATGTATGCACATATGTACAAGCACAGACACACACTATACTGTCCATACAGTGCATGCATACATAGACACGTACACACTTGCATGCATGCATGTATGCGCACGTACGTCCTTGCATACATACATACATACATGCCTGCATTCATACATGCAAACATAGATACATACACACACACACACATACACCCACACACGCATACATACATACGCATGCATGCATACATACACACACATACACATACATACACATACATACCATACATACATACATGCATGCATGCATACCTGGCTATGCATATATATATACATATACATATACATATACATATGTATGTATGTATGTACAGAGCAATACATACATATGTATACATATATATATATATATATATACATGTATATATATATACATACATACGTATATATATATATATATATCTATATATGTCTGAATATGAATATAGGTGCTTTAAGCATATGTACCCATGTATGTATGTGTATGTGTGCATATATATATATATATATCTGAATAATAAATCGCTAACATGAACACATAAATAAATACAGATGCATTTGTGTAAACAAATGTATGTGTATACACATAAATACATGTATATATATAACATTTGTATGTGTATGGATGTAGATGTTTCTATCTATATATCCACCCATGGACGCAGAGACACAGGTTTCTGACATGAAGGAGCGCAGGGGGAGGCCTAAGCACCGAACACAAGGCGCTGCAATGTCACCCGGGATTCGGTGGAGTCCTCCAGGAGCTCTGCTGTGGAGGGCGCCTCCGGCAGCGCCAGCGCCGTTTGCGGCTGCAGGAAGCCGATCTTGTAGAGGAGGTATTGCGTCTGGTAATGCAGCAGCTGCTCAATGTTCGTCGTGAGCACCTCTTGGGACTTCTGCAAGCTCTGGAGCACCGCCGACGTGCCAGCAGTGACCTCAGGTTTCCGAAAAACGTGCCATCGCCGGCAGCAAAGAACTGTGTCAGGTGTTTTGAACGGGTTCTTGCAAAATTGCGTCCAAACCTAAGTTACATCGTTACGGTATGCTGCTCTTGAGCGGAGGTTCAGCAAGCTCGAGGGCCAGTTTTCGAGCACCAATTAGCAAGAAAAATGCGAGGCCTAGCTGCAGAATTGTGGATGCAGAAGAGGTCGCACATAACCTTGGACAGGCCGTACTGCAGGGGCATCCAATCCGCATAATCCGCCTTGCTGTTGGACTCCGCATTGGTATAGCTGTCTCCGCCTGGCTGCGAGGGCTGCGGTAGCGTCTGGGCCTGCAGCTTCTGTCCACTCTTCTTCAGCTGCAACTCCGAGGGAATCTTGATCGGCGAGTAGTTATTGATGACGGACTCCGCATCGGTGATGTCTCCCTTCGCCGTCGACACTGTGTTTTCTGCTTCGGTCTCCTTCTGGGTCACATAGCCTTTGTGGGCACAGCATGTCACAGCCCTCCTCAAGGGCAGAAAGGGGAATCCGAGGAAGCAAACTGCAACCTTTACCCTCTTGTTTGTGGTGGGATTTGGTGGGACGACGCATGGTGCTTCCAAGCAGCCGAAGCCCTGCTGGACCTTCTTCTGCGCCTGCCCCGGCAGGCCTTTGACTTGGTTGTAGGTCTGCTTCGCCTTGTCGTACCGAGCTTTCACAGCATCCACCGTTTTTTGGGCCTTGGCGTAGGCAGTGGAGGCTGTCTTGATGGACTTGGAGGCAATGCCCTTGACCTTGCCAAGCCAAGCGAAAGCCGAAAGGAGAAGTGACAGAAAGGACTGCCGCGCGCGCCTGCCTTGCTGGCGAAAGCCTTTGCCTTGGAGATCAGGGCCTGCACCACCTTCTTCTCAACGATCTTCTTCGCAACCTTCTCGCCTTCTTTGGAAGCCACCTACATGCGCTGGTGCATGCAAGAGGACAACAGTCGGACAACGTGAGACATGTGTGTGTGTGGCTTAACATTGACGCACCTTTTTGGCAGCACTCGCAGGGCTGGAGTAGCTACCCCAGGGGATGGCGGTGGCCACTGCTGCAACCAGCGCCGCGATGTCGGCGGCATCTTGGAGCCTGGCCCGGTTCTGAATCCTACAGTTGCGGCTCTTGTCCGATCTGGTCAGGCGGTCGAAGGGGACAATTCAAGGCCGACGATCGAAGAAGGTTGTGGCGGGGCACTCAACTACAACAGAGGTGTCTGTGCTCTCGTTTGCGATCTCGGGGACCCGAGGCCGCGGCTTGCCGATTTCCTTCTGCACCCAATTCTCCAGCTTATTCTGCTCAGAGGCCGCGTGGGCGAAGAGGTACTGACGCGTGTGGGAACGGCCGCTCGCCTGCCAGAAGTCCTCTTCAAGCAAAAACCCGTTACTAATATGCCTTCAGATTGCTTGGCCCTTAGCCTTAGAACCTTAGATCTTGTATGTGATCTTCTGGACCACGGTGCCCCGTCCTCCTCAGTAATGCCTTTAGGAAGGCCTTGGACCGGCTTCTCCGCATTGAAGGTGTGGTAACATGGGTTACCTTCCTCCACCTTGCCGGAGAAGAGCGCTGGGTTCTGAAGGAAGGTGGGGTCGCAGTACGCCTTGTAGTCGGGCTGCACCGGGTGGAACTTCAGAAGCTTCGGGAAGGTCGGTGGATGCTTGGGGAAGGGGCTGGCAGGAGGAGGCTTCTTGGCGAAGGATGGCATTGGAACGATGGGAACCGCAGAGAAGTTGTCACCAGACGAGAAGTCAATCTCCGCTGGCAGGACTCCGTCGCTGTGGAAGGAGCTGACCACGGCGCCCTTGACCCGGACCTGCCACTCGGCTGTCCACCTGGCCAT